ACACGCACGTATGACCACGCAAACGCAAACACTAACGGACAACCACGTGCGCGCGCACACACACACACACACACACGCAAGAAGAAAAAAAAATGCAGAAGAAGAGATAGATAGATGGCCATAAACATGTAGACAGGGAGATAGATATAGATAAATGTAGATAAACAGATTATCAGATATTTCATCTTACATACTGCATATCTGTATAGATATTATGTATATAGTTATGTATATAGGTATATATGTACATATTGTTTATACATATGTATATATACATACATATATATATATATATATATATATATATATATATATATATATATATATACATATATGTATTATATATATATATATATATATATATATATATATATATATATATATATATATATATATACATATATGTATATATATATATATATATATATATATATATATATATATATATATATATATATATATAGATATTGTATTGTATGTTGTATTTACATACAACACTAACACATACACACACACATATGTATATATAGTTTTAGTTTATACGTTTATATAGCTTTAGTATATATGTATATATAGTGTGTATATAGATAGATAGACAGATAGATACGTAGATTTACACTGATGTGTAGGAAGAGAGAGAGAGAAAGAGAAAGAGAGATACAGAAATCGAGAGAGAAAGGAAAAGAGAAAGAGATAACGAGAAAACGAAAAATTAATAGCAAAAATCTACAAAAATATATTTGCATCTACATCTACACATTCCGATTACGTGTTAAAAAAATCAATTCCCTAATCCACATGAAACAAAGATCTTCCGCACACACCAACGAATACAAAGATCGTCCTCAGACACCGCATGATGTTGACGTTTTTTCTTCTCGGTTGCGTGGGCGAAGAAGCGACATCTTGACAAATCTTCGCGTTCTCTTTAACTCTCGACCCAACACGAGATCCTTCGGTTCAAGATCCTGACGTAGTTGCCTTAATCTTTTGGGGATGTAGGTATGTGCGTGTGTTTGTGTGCGTGAGGAGGGGAGGGAGGGAGGGGGAATGGGGTTGCGTGTGCGTGTGAGGAGGAGGGGGGGAGGGTTGTGTGTGTGTGTGTGTGTGTGTGTGTGTGTGTGTGTGTGTGTGTGTGTGTGTGTGTATGCGTGTGTGTGTGTGTGTGTGTGTGTGTGTGTGTACATGTGTGTGTGTGTGCCTGCGTGCGTGCGTGTTTGTTATTTAGTTTTTTAGTCTGTGTGTGTTGTCTTCAGTTAGGGGGCACCATTTTTTTTTTACCTTGATGCTATTTGTTCACAATTACCCCGTTTGAACACGATTCTTCGGACCGTATCTCACATCAACATGACACTGCATAAGCCTTATCATATCTGCGAGTTCCCAGGCCACGAAGGCCCCCAACATAACTTTATCCTCTCATCATAACATGGCAGTGTTATTGCTGGTAGCGTCCACTCCAGATACCGCTGTTGAAATACCTTATACTAATATCCTGATCACTCCCAAAATGCTAAGTTGCAAGAAGCGTTTGGGTGTTGCAACTTTCCTCTTAATCATCTGTGAAGTTCGAGGGGCTTTGGGCAGGAATGATGCAACCAGCGTCCAGGAGAACCGTCATGCACGCGCCCTCCCATGCCCGATTCCTGAAGACATTCTCCCATGCACGTGTTCTGTAGACGTCGACGGAGCGATAGACATGGACTGTTCACACATCGAGAGCGAAGAACAACTCGCCAGGGTGTTCAGCGCGACCATCCCTTTCCCCAATTTCCGGAGACTCGTCATTTCACAGAATACCCACCTAAAGTCCCTACAACGTGGGGCGTTAGGCGAGACGTCGTTCAAGGAAATCTACGTCATAGGGAGCGTCCTGCAGGAAGTCCAAGAAAGGGCCCTGAACAACAGCCACGCCACGCTCACTGACATCCGCATCTACGCCAACAACCTGTCCGAATTTCCCTTCCAAGAACTGCCGCTTTTCACCTCTCTGCTCCACCTGGACTTGAATCACAACGACCTGTCCGATTTCCCGCTGCTGGAATCGGATGTGCTGTCCTACATTGACTTGGGATTCAACCACATCAGTGACCTTCCGAGCGAGGGATTCAGGAACCTCTCGCAGCTGGCTGAGGTTCACCTGTCCGGAAACAGGATCCAGGAGATTCATACAGGTATTTGGCACCCTCTTTTTTGCAAAGATTGTCGTATTTTTCCTCAGTCACCAGGATTACAACATATATATACATATATATATATATATATATATATATATATATATATATATATATATATATATATATATATATATATACGCTAAGCAAGATATATACAGTAAATAAATGAAAAAGGTTACATTTAGATATGTTTACCGTGTCCCTCCCATTAACAGAATTATAGCATAGTATTATTTCATTTACAGCATTTTTCCTCATTTAACAGGAATACAGTATAGTATTTTTTACTGTTAAATACCCATACCAGTTTAATGTATCGTGAG